GGGAGTGTCGATCTACCAGAGGGGAGGAAGAAGCAGCAGGAGAACGTGGACAGGCTGGATTGATGGGCCGAGGCCAATGGCATGAAATTCAACAAGACCAAGTGCAGGGTCCTGCACTTTGGCCACAAGAACCCCAGGCAGTGCTACAGGCTGGGGGAAGAGTGGCTGGAGAGCAGCCCAGCAGAGAGGGACCTGGGAGTACTGGTTGACAACTGGTGGAACATGAGCCAGCAGTGTGCCCAGGTGGCCTGAAAGGCCAATAGCATCCTGGCTTGTATCAGGTATGGCCAGCAGGAGTAGGGATGTGATTCTCCCCCTGTACACAGCACTGGTGAGGCCTCACCTCAAGTCCTGTGTCCAGTTCTGGGCCCCTCACTTCAAGAAGGATATTGAGGTGCTGGAGCAGGTCCAGAGGAGAGCAATGAGGCTGGTGAAAGGACTAGAGGGAAAGACTTATAGGGATAGGCTGAGGGAGCTGGGATTGCTTAGCCTGGAGAAGAGGAGACTCAGGGGGGACCTTCTCACTCCCTACAACTACCTGAAGGGAGGTTGCATTCATGTGGGGACTGGGCTCTTCTCCCAAGCAACCAGTGACAGGATGAGAGGGCACAGCCTGAAGCTGCACCAGGGGAGGTTTAGGTTGGATATTAGGAAGCACTTCCTCAGAGAGAGGGTGATCAGACATTAGAATGGACTGCCCAGGGAAGTGGTGGAAGCACCATCCCTGGATGTGTTCAAGGAAAGGCTGGATGTGGCACTTAGTGCCATGGTCTAGCTGATCTGGTGGTACTGGCTGGATTTGATGATCTTAAAGGTCTTTTCCAGCCTCGGTGATCCTGTGATTTCAAAGTCCTTTCTCAGCTCACTGCTCTAAGCATCAGTCTGTTCTCTCCAAAGGGCAAAAAAGGAACACTACCAAAGGTATCTTTGAGCTCACTTTACTTACAATGCAATTAGCTTTCAGCTCACTTCAGTATAAAACTTTGTTGCATCTCCATACTTCACTGGATGACAAAGGTGTAATACTGGACTATTTCCACAAAAATATGCCATCTTTATGCCCAAAAGATATCACACAGATGTCCAAATTTGTAGAAAAGTTTACTTTATGTGGCTATCACAAGGAAAAAAGACAAGAGTTTAATATATATACAAGGCAATTCCAAGATCCTGAGAGCCTTTAGAGGGATAAGGATGTTGACAGACTTTGTGACAGGATACAACCCAATTATTTCATCTTTCCAGGATACAGTGGCATGTTTGCTAATACCTGCTATAAATGTCAGCCTTGTGGACTGAAACTCGTTTTGTCCCATGATCCCCAATCTCCCAAATAAGGAAGTAAGATGCTTACTTAGGGATTAGTCTGTAACAGCCAAATCATGAGCCCAAGCAGTTACTGTTATTGAGCATATCCCAGTGCAGCCTCTGACACTACTCTGGCTGGAGCTGCCCCGTCAGGCTGAGCTCCCTGCAGCCTTCCTGACAGTGCAAAGAAAAACCATGTCACAGTTGGGAATGTATTTTTAAGCTGTTACTCTCCCATCACCATTAAGTATCCCACTTATTTTCCTCTTTCTCATCAAACACCAGTGACCAGCTTTTTCACAAGAGTATCTTTACCATTTATCCATCCCACAGTAAGCTTTTTTCCTGTCTCCATCTCTTCTCCAGCTTCCCCCTGTCCCATCAGTATCACTAGCCACTACTGGCTGGTCATTTTAATATACATGCAAGTGCACACTTATATTTTTCTCACATAATAGATCCTCAAAAAAGAAAAGAGTCAGAAGCCCATTAAGTAATTTAGCAGGTAAGAGAAACTATCACCCTCGTAAGTAAACGACAACAGTCTCATAATGATGTGTTATGAACCATTTCCACTGCTTGAAAGGTAGTTCTCTAATCTCACTATGATTTAACATCATTATATTAACAGGCTGATTCTCCCAAAAGTATTCTCTTTCATCCAAGTGCAGATGATGTATTAATTACAAAGCTATACTTTAAAGACTAAATTAAAGTGTTTTCATTGAAAGTAAGCTCCCTTTTAGAAAAGTTGAGATTCAGTGACTTTCCCCTGAACTTCAGCAAGCAATCTGTACGTGCAGGCTAAGAGAAATCTTGGAGTTGTAAACATAAAGCTTTCATAGAGAAGAGCTTTGCTTTTTCAAAAGGGATAGGGAAACAAAGTTTTTAAATTCTTTTACACAAGACTGAAATACAGAGTCACACCTTTTCAGCACTGCCACCCTGACCACAACTGTTTATTTTGGGAGCTTAAAGGCAAGGAATTAGTATTTCCGTTTCTGTCACGCAGACACACAATTAGTAGTTCAGCAGCCTTGCCTTTCTAATTGATCTGTTCACGTGACAAACAACGAACATCTCACTTGTCAGTGTCTTAAGCAGTAGTTTCAAGATTTGAAGTGTTTGACAGAGCTGCTGGAACATTTGAAATTTTACTACCTCATTTTGCTAATTAACACATGAGCTCCAGACAGCCAAGTTGACATTTTACAGTTAGGCAAAGGAAGTAACTACTCTTCTATTAAACACTGGAAGCTTGAAGATCTAATGTCTTTTCTTAAAAGCATTTAGGAAGCTAAATGCTTTTGCATCAGGACCTGGAACTACAGTTCACTGCACTCTCATCCAAGACAGTTAAAAAAACCCTCATAAAAACAGTTAAGACAGCACCACACTTTCCTCACTCTGAAAGAACACAAATATTTAAAACTGCAAGTGTAACACAAAAAGTTTATCATCTGCCATTTCTTGCAAGAAGATGAAGGTTGACATCATGATACTGGTTTATGATGCAAATAATATTGTGGTTGCAAGCACAGAGACCTTTTTTACCTAAAAAATGTTAGAAGAGGAAGAGAAAGCCTCAATAGTTTGAGAATAAAAATGAACATGCCACATGCACAAATCAGAGAGAAAACACTGCAGAGTGGGGAGATGACAGCTTCTGAGGCTTTAATGGACTTTTTTGACACAAAACAGGATTGCCCCAACAACTTTAATGAGCCCAATTACAAACTCAAGCAGTGTCTAGATTCACTGGGTGAAGTTTTTCAGTTTATACTGACAGCAGATTAAGATTTCAGTGTACCTTATTTATATATAGAGTATGCATCACTTTTGTTTCTTGTTAAATTCTGTCTTATCTTAAACAGCATTTGTTTACATGACAGTAAGTCTAAAAAGGCCCAAATACATAATGCTTCATGGCTTCTAAAAGGCCAGAATGAAGTTTTACTTCCAAAATTAGTTCTCCCGTAAGCTCTGCATTTTAACTGCCAAAATCCATCATGCTTTGGCCACAGTTGCAGAAATGAAACAATTTGAAAGCTCATCTGAAAACTTCCTGTGTGTGTAACAAATGCTCTTTAAAACAGTGTTTTTATGATTCCTCACAACCTGCTAACCTGTAGCCCCAAAAAGGAACTAAATATTGCGTGGACAAATGACAGCTTTTGTTGTCTAAGCACCAGCCTTTATTTTCTAGTCATATCATGCTGGAAAAAGATCAAACCTCTGGACAGATCAGTTGAGCAATGAAATCTGCATTTTCAAAAAACACTTCTATTGTATTAAATGCTTGCTTTTTTTAAAGATTTAAAACCTCAGTCTTGTGTCTTAAATTGTACTGAAAAAATGAAGTTTATTTTTGCATATATTTCAAATGTATGTTTTTTAACCAGTTGTTTTATTTTCAGTGTTCATTAGAAACTATTTACATCAACAAACAACAGAACAATACTTGAAGAATCTAGTATTGAAAACATTTATGAAGGACCACAGTTTGTAACAGGCACCTTCCTCTCTACAGTTTTTGTATGAATTCTGCTCTACAACATACTTGTAAAGAAGTTCTCCTTTCCTACAGTGTTTTTCCTTCAGCACAAAAATCCATGTTAAGCACAAAATTATGTCTGAACAAGACTCAAAGTTGAATATGTAAATAAAATTCTCTCAGAAACAAAGAACACGAGTTCACATTCACGTTACTTTTGCAATCTGAGATGATTATTTCTAGCTGTCATACTCTAGCCACAGCAACAGACCAAATCCTCCCTTAGACTTCTTTATATCAAAGTGGAGGTCAGATAGACTGGACACCAACAAAGAACCACAAGCAAGATGCTCAGTCTCTGAACACCCTTGAATTCCTCCTCAACTCTCTGATGCACATTATGCCAAAGCACAATATAGGACTGGTCATCAAATCCAACCACCCATGACAGTGAAGGACCATGCAATTTGTCATCACCACAAACTACCTCTTAGTTGGTGTATTTATTCCTCCTAATTCTAGGAGAGAATGACTCATGGATCTCACTTCTTCAGGGCAGAAAAAAAAGCAAAAAACTTTCTTCTGATTTCCACCCTAAGTTTATTCAAACTGATGGTGGAAACAGCACCAAAGTAGTAATTTAACTCTTTAGATTTCCTTCTTACAATTAATCAGCAATAAGTAAGGCACCTCTTTACCACTCAGTACTTCAGAGTGATCTTTAGCACTCTATTTCATTGCTAAAACATTCTACTTCATAGACAAAGTGCTTATGTAGTTAAAACCCCCCACAACAATCCTGTGTTTATTAAGTCACAAGGGCTTTTGCTCTTCTTGAGGGGGGGAAAAAAGTCAGTACTTGCCAAAACACACCCTAGTAATACAAAGGAGATGATCCTTTCATTCGTTTCAAACTACAAGCAACTTGTTTTACCACTTGCATACAATTCCCAAATACAGTTACATCATCTAGTTTGATAGTTATCACATACATCAATCACAAGACTAAAACGCTGACACTCTAGTTTGAAATGGCAACATGATGTAAGCACTCCAAAAACAAGTTTGAGAACAGCTAACAAACTTTATCCTTCGTAAGTTTGCTGCATCCATCAAACATGAAGGAATAGAGTAACTCATTTTATTATAAAAAATTCTGCTTTTTAAAGATGCAGTCAGCAAAGAGACTGGGCCTTACCTCTGGTTTACTGAGACTGGATGACACAAGAGAACCTGATCCCACATCCAGATCCCACTGTTTTCTCCCACTGTTTTCTGGATCCAGTGCAGCAATTCGTCCATCCAAAGTGCTGATAATTACTAGAGATCTGCAAGTTGGAAGCATTCATAGTCAAAACTACAGCACTATGGAATTTATCTATTAGCTACTTTCTATATTTCACACAGTGCAAGTTCAACTTGAAAGTTAAATTTACATATTCTGCAGAAAAGCAGTTTAAGTTGTTAGCTCTAACTAGAGGAACAAGAGAGTAGGAAAGTTGAAATCTCAGGCTGGATGTGAAATTAATTTACATGCTAGTAAGACACTTTAAAGAGTTTCAGGGAAAGATAGCTTGACTTTTTCCTCCCACATGCAGGTGTTACCACTACAGCAACTGAATGCAACCATGTTTTGAGATACTTATGTGAAAAGTATATATCCTATTTTTTCCAGTCCCTTCCACACTGAGCTTTAATATGACCTTTCAAAATAACCAAATCCCAGAACAATTAACCCAGCAAATCAATGCATAAGAAATATTAAGTCACAACTAAGATTCAATACCTCTGGATAAAACACGGACATAATCATGGAGATCTAATCTGAGGCACACATGGGACACTAGAAACAAGCTCCAAAGTCAGCAGATAACAGAGCAAACAAACTGCCTCTCTGTGTGGAGATGCTACAGTGCCTGAAGCTCACCAATTTTAGTAAATCTTATTTCTTCAACAGCAGTTCCATCAGAACAAGCATTTCTGATCTGGCATTAAAATAAAAATTTTAAAAAGCAAGCCAAAAAACCCAAACAAAAAAACCCCCAAACATCAGAGACAAAACACTGACAAGGCACTTTTGAAGGGCCTTTTTTTTCCTGGAAGATTGTTTCACTTTGACCTGAAAAAGCTGGGATGTGTTGACAGTTTTGGCTTGCAGCAGGCTGAAAGGCTGTGGGAGTAGAGCTTGATCACTTTACAGACTGCTGGCAATGAGGATGGTTGGATCTAGTGACCCAGAAAGACCTTTATAGACATTGGTTTCAATGAGAATAAGGAACTGTGCAAATAAACCTGATGGGTGATTAACTGTTTTTGGGTGGGGGTGAAACGGCAGGGAGGAGGTAATGCACACAGAGACAGAACATGATTCATTAATTTAAATAATAAGGAACACTGAACTACCATGCAGAACTGAAGCCAAATACATTCCTTTGTCCAAAGTTACCAGTGTAGTAAGCTGAAGTTTAGAGAGGAAATTATAGGGGCTCTAAGTTTTCTTTCAAGAGGGAAAATCTAAAATAATGTTCTTAAAAACACATTCAAGGACAGTGGCTCATTACATCACCTATGCCAAAGTTCATATAAAACACTGCAGTTTTACATGTAAAAGTAACCCACGTGTTTTAATAGGACTTTATAGTGTGGTATAGAACTATCTTGTTAATAAACAGAAAGTTCAGTAAGTCTTCAAGTTACACCAAAAATAACACGGCAGCTTCTGAGGGTGGCTAAGGATCACATTCCTCCAAAAGCTTAGTTTAAGAAACTGTTAGAAAAGTACCAATTATGCAAATATTTGAACAGTAGAATACACAAGGTTTTATAAGCTGAGTACACATCATTATTCCAACTGTACAGAAACCAAGACCAGGTTAATGATAAACTGGATTGCAAGAGACTATCTATTCTCAAGCACCATAAATAAGTGCTTGCACATGAAAAGCCTTGGACACACATTGTACAGAATCTATTTGCTTTATGGTAAAGCAGCTTATCTGAAGTCCCCTACCATTGCATAAAAATATTATTCCAAGTGTGTCTATTTAAATTTTATGTTGATCCTGCTGACAGTTAGGTAATAAAAACAGGTGCAAGTGCAGCTAGAACAGAGGGAATTTTCACAGTAACATTGTAGAGAAAGAAATATCCTAAAATTGCACCGTGAAATGCTTCCTTCCCATCTACTCCCATTGTTTTCCTTTATCTCATTCTCCCACTTGACTTCTCCCTCAGGTAACAAATATGTATTTTATCTTTTTATATTATCTTTCTCTACCAGATGCAAACCTCAACTTTCCCCAAGAGTTACCTCATTATTTAAGCCTCACCACCACCACCCCAGACAGTAGCTTTGTTATCTGTACCTACATCGTGACCTCCAGTCATCCAAATTGTGCTGTGACCACACTTAAGTTTTAAGTTTACTTGATTAGAAAAGTGAGGAGGAAAAATCCAGCCATCAGAGGGTACCTTTGTACCAATAGCACACACTTTGAGGAAGTGGTTTAACCAACTGCTACTGCATACCCTATAAAATTCTCACTTCTCTTGGGTGCAGTGGTACTCTTCATTAGCCCCTTTGGACACTGTATAATGAATAATGGGCTTGGTCTCACAGACTCCACCTACTAAGCAAACATTTGGATGAGACACAGGAAATTAACCCATTCATCCCTAAATCCTGCACTTACCTACAGAACTGGAACTAGCTGCAAGAAAAGCATTCCTTTCTCTCTGTTTTTTTTACTGAGTGACTCATTTTGAACTAAACAGTTGTGCTTCTGGTCCAATCTTCATCTTGCTCTTTAACACTAATCATAAGATAGCTTAGGTTGGAAGGCACCTTAAATCTCACCTAGTTCCTGCATGTCAGAAAGAAAATCTGCTAAGAATCTGTACTCTTGAAATAAATCCTTCATTACTCTCTCTATTTCTATAAATTCAAATCTCAATACCTGTTTCTTCTCAACTCTGACCAACTCCAGTGAGTTAAAATCCTGCCTCTTTAATTCTAATCAGGAGAAGGTCTGCAATGTGTCTGTAAGTGTCCTAGACCCACGCTAGTGTTACACTTTCTCACTATCAGATTTTCCTTTCTTCCAGTTTCCCCCCTTTTCTCTGTAAGACTCCACTGCCTGCAGCTTTGCACACTGAGGGTATGAAATGGTGACAAAAGATCTTCCCATCTTTCAGGTAGTCTAATCAAACACTAGATGCATATATTCTGATAAAAGCATTGGCTTTACCAGTACCTGACTGGGGTAAAGCTTAAGGACTTCCTTGACCAAAGAAGCCAACTTTCAACAAGTTTTATAGGAACACTACCAAATTAGCCCTCAATTCTACATGCCATCCCACACAAAACACAAAATATTACCCAACTTAAGGTCAAAAGTCACAATACAATGCCAAAGAAGGGAGGAGGATACAGACAAACAGCATCAAGGCTGCAAATTCCTGAAAAAAGCAAGACTTTTCTTGGAAGTAAACCATGGAGTATACTAGGGAGTGAATCACATCACACGCATACTAGAGAGGGAAAAAAACACCCACACAAAGCAACAGACTGCATGAACCTGAACAACAACAGCAAAAAATATACAGAAAGGAATTACTACAAACTAGACAGTGACTTAAATCCCAGGCTCCAACCAGCAGGCACCCGAAAAATGAACATCAGTAAAATGAAGACACCTACATACTTCACCTTGCCTCCAGCAATGAATTACAACCAAATAATGAAGAAAATCCCTTCTGGGCCCTTACAGATGGCCAGCAGAAGGGCTAAAGCAAGGGGCCACTATAACATGGGGCATGCAAAGACATCTGTATCACAGCAGCTGGCAGAGATTAAGCTAATACCATACAGTCAGATTTCATTTTCACTTTGTCAATATGAAAACACATCTGGACGTACTTCCCCCATCCAAACCATCCACAAATGGCCTCTACTGTGAAACGAAAATGTTTTCTAACCATTTCCCATCCTCTTTTGCTCACAGACATAACCTTAACCTTTAAGGGTAGTTATAATGCTGCCCCTTGAAATTATGCAAAACATCTACTACAAACTTCCACATATATAGACAAAGGGCAACTCCTGGGCCTTAAAAACACTGTTTATATCCCATCATGAGCACAGCTCACTCTTTGAGATCAGATGGCCTGAGCTCAGCTCTGTTCTACTTTATAGAAGTGAAGGTATCTGATCCACGTACAAAGAAAAGAGCTAAGACTGCAAGCGAAGATGTAAACAGGATAGAGCAAGAACACACACTGAGTTCATCTACCCCTTTCACGGCACAAAAACTTTCATTTATTCAAATAAGTTGTTTTTTATTAGAAAAACAAAGCAAAACTTTGGTACAACATTTAGCACTGTTCCCATTACAATTTAAAACACAACAATCCTAATACCCTCAACAGCTGTCTGGGACATTGCAAATACAGCTGTTTGTCAAAATTTAAACAGCCATTCCATTCCAATTTCAAAATCTGCACTTTTGTATGTAACAAGCACAGTAATTCTCACCAAGCCTCACATTTTCTTCTAGGAAATTAAAAAGAAAAATCCTCAAAACCAAGATGATGAGATTCCTTTGCCTACAGCAAAAATAGTGGGGGTTTGGGTTTTGTTTGTTTTCTTCCAAATGATTCTGACCTGTTACATTGCATTTACTGCTGAAAAACACACAGCTTAGTAGAGAGCTCACAAATACACGTGAAAAAAATAAACAAATGCAGGCAAATACAATGGCCAGGCAGCCATTCTATTTTTATTTGATGACAGCAAATCTATTCCTACGCACTAATCAATTAGAGGACAGCTACATTTAATCTCAGGCTTAAATTACTACATTGAACATCTTTCATGTCTTTTCTTTAGCTCTAGATGTCAAACAAAAAAAATAATATTTAAATGTTTTCAGGGCTAAGTAAACAAAGATCTTATTAAAAACTGAAACCACTAGAATTGTAACAAACTAGGTAGGATTTTTATGACCTGATAGACAAAATAATTATCCTGTTGCTAACAGGTGAACAGATTTTCCTCAAAGAAAACAGGATGCTGAGTTATCAGCCAGTTTCTTTTGCTCTAAATGAATGCTCAGGTGTACTAACAACAAGCTTTGGGGTTTTCCATTTTTAGAACAGGCTCTCAAATACAGCAGACATTTAGTCATACTGTTCTGCCTTTAAACTCTGGCTGTGGCTTATCACCTCACCCTTCTCAGCCAATTCAGAAACAGCCTGGAAACAGCTCATTTCTGCACTTGAGTCATTCATTAAAACCTCCCTTTTACAAGAGTTTCTTGCCAGATGTGTT